TACAGGTAGCATGCCATAATAAAGGACATAGCTTGGGAGGCTAGAGGCGGACACACTTTTGTTGTCTTATTTCTTTTGATGTATTACGTGTAAATTCAAGCCAAGGGCTTAATATGTAATTGAGTTAGTACTCTCTTTTGTAACCAAGTGTTAACTTGGAAAGCTGTAAGCCCGTAGGGCATTTGCTTTTGTTGTTAACATGTAACACTTTTGTAATGAAGTACTCTGATGAATTGAAGAATGTGGATATTTGTATATAAATGTATGTCTCTATTGATGGGTTTAATGCTATTTATTTGAGGGCGTTACATATACATAAAATAGAAAGAAGCAGAACATCTTCGAGTCGCCATTCGTCCTTCACCGGTTGTCACTATTCCTCATTCATTCGTTCATTGATGTTGATTCAGATTCATGGCCTCATGGGTCTTTTTCTTACTTTCAAATGATTTTTTTTTTATTCTCTATGGCCTTGATTCATTGCCGTCGCCGTGGTGTACGAGTTAGGTTCTCAACTCTCAACGAAAATGGGGAAAGGAAAAAGGAAGAAAAAAAAAACTCAAAATGACGTCGTTTTGAACCATAGCAGGGAATGCCGCAAGAAAACACGACAAAGGATCCGGGCTCAATTCGTATATCCAATTCTGTTGCATTTTGCTTTTGGTGAAATAGGGTGTTTCAGAAAATACTCTATGTTTGGTTTGATTTTTTATAAAATTGTTTATAGATTGATTTTCATTTATCTATAGTCAATTCTTTTAGATGCACCGTTGTTATTGCTATGTTATACTAATGGTTTTGTTGTTTATAAATAAAAACTTGTTTTGTTTTCGCTTCAAAATGTATTAAGTTTTCACTTATTTATATAATGAAATAATCTCGAATAAATTTTAATGAATAAGAGTCGAATTCAAGTAATTTAATTTATTTTAAAATTTTACACATAAATGTTAAAAGAATCCAACCATGTGTGACATATGTGAACCTGACTGACTTAGAGCATCTTTAGTGGTTACAATAATGTTTTGTGCTACTTTAGCATAGAAAAGTTGCAATTTATATAGATTTATTCAACATGTGTAATATTAAGTAAAAATAGCACAAGATTACCGTCAAGCATCCAAAATTACCATCAAGCATCAATAAGCATCTATAGGGAGCTTTACCAAAAAGGACTTATCCCGAAAACGAAAACGACCAGCATAATTATTTGAATTTATCAGAGATAAAGCTTCTCCTTCACGCCTAAAAATATGTGTCAGAATTCACACCAAAAAATGACAAAAATTATTGTAATTATTTGTGTTTGTCTGTAGTAAGGTTTCTCCTTCACTCACTACTTTAATAGAATAGACAACCCCTACTTTGTTCTATTAAAGAAAAGCTGTGAGAATTCTTACATGTGTTATATTTTTTCTTTTCTTTTCTTTTTGTAATATTTTGTAAACAAAGACCCAAGAGAGGGAGGATTGAATGATATGCGACGGGGTCCAAAGTAGTACCATGCATCATTATCCTAATCCTTGACTGATTCTTTCGGTAGTTGGTCTTTAGGAGTATTCACCACTATAAATAGAAAACACTCTTTAGTTAGAAGAACAAGAAAAAACACTCTATCCTTGTCCAACCTTCAAGTGTCTCAACTTTTGTCTTCCAAGTTTCTAAGTGTCCCAGAAGTTTTAACATAATCCTTGTAAGTATTTTGTTATATTAATATGAAGTGTGAGTATATTCTCTTTTTCCTTAGGTATTTGGAAAGGGCAACTCTTCTATTCTAAAATTTATTTTCTTTTTGAAAAAAATTATGAAATGCTTGCTTGCTTATTAATATTACATGTTTTGAATCTTCATAGTATCTATTGTTTTTTTTATTCTATTACTGAGTGACCTTAGCTAAAGAACCTGTGTGAGCCGTGATCAGGCATTAGAGGGAAATTGTAGCTAGAAAGGGAAAGGTAAGGAATAGGAAAATAAAAATATACTATATCGAACGAGACTTAGTCTCAAAGTGGGAGCACATGTAATGAAAGCAAAAATCACTTAAAAATAGTTTTTTCAAAATAAAAGAAAGAATTTTAGAAGGGTAAATTACACTTTGCACCGCTGCACTTTGTACCAAATCTCACTTTGGCCCCTATACATGAAATCATGACAAGTCAACTCCCTGCACTTTTGGTCAAATCCCACTTTGGTCCCTGTACATGAAATTGTGATAATCAACCCCTGTACTTTTGGTCAAATCTCACTTTGGTCCCTATATAAGTGTCAACGTCCCATTTTTTTTACTCAGTTGTTTAAATCTTTAACAGAATCTAGTAATGTGATAAGAATATAACCACTACATGAGGGTAAGAAAGGAAAATCATTTATATTTTCTACCAATACACACTTTATTCTAAAATTTACATCAAAATATGACAGCATTAGGCTAAAACAAAACGCAGATTGTGAATAATTAAGAAAATGAATCAGGGTTTTGCATAAATTGAAATCACGAAACTCTGTTTTTCACAGTAACATTCATTTTTCTTTTTCTTTGATTTCTTTGTTGCATTTTTTTTTATATTTATATTTCAAAAGCTCTACTTTCTTGTTTTTTCGTCCTAATTTTTACCATATGAACGTATATATAT